TATCTCTTTGCTTACGAGTTTGGTCAAATGCAAATACCGACACATCTTTGACTTGTCTATTTACAATGTGATGCCGGTTGACAATAAAAGAGACGTTTTTAATGAATAGATACATAAACGGATAACACGTGAAATTATTTTACGCCAAAACATAGTTTAAATCCTTCTTCGAGCTCTTTCAAGCAAACCCTTTCATGCATATAAGCTGCATCATCTTGTTTTGTCCTCGAGTTACTTCTACTTGAATGTGATCTCTTCTCCCTATCTCGTAGGAACATTAAATCCTCTTTATGACCTTCCTCTAGCCTCATTTGTAACCTCTGATCAGTCCACGCTTCAGCAATCTCAACAATTACTTTATCACTCACTGGAGACTTGTCTTCAAAATCTTTAACAACCGCTGTAGCATACTTATCGCAGAGATCTTCCACTACAATACGTTCTTTTCTCTCATTTTCAAGATCTTTCAAAGCTTTTGTGAAACAATGCTTTGCTTCACAAAGCTCTCTTGTTTAACCCTTTGCAAACTCTCTGACTTCTTTCTAACTTAGATGAATTATCCAAAATAGTACTCAGTTAAGTTTTTGGGGGGAGGTTTAGACTTTAGAAGAAGAATTGAGTTGTGTTTTGTGTTGCTCTGGGAATAGGCATAGTTAAGAGTGTAATTAGTTGGAAAGCGTGGACTTTTAAATGAAGACAACTCGTTCAACAAACGGGAAACGGCAATGACTTATCTCCTTGAACATTCGTTGGGAAACTTGGAATCAAAAGTCTAATTTGAAGTTTTTTTATTTAACTAGTTAAACTTTTCACAGACTTTGTTAATTAGATGTTGTGGGCATAATTTTTGAAAAAACTTTTCGGTATACACTTCGAGGTAGGCCACATAACAGCTAGAGGTAACCATTTGAACTAATCTATTTTATTAAAATAGAAACATTGTGTTGAACTTAACATTTATATATAAAATTTTAAATGAAATATATTTTTGTATTTTATAGTTAAACTTACATTAAATCACTAATATTTATTTATTTATACTATTATTCATGTTTCTAAACAATATATTTTTTTCTTTGTACTAGTATCAATGTTTCCAACAATGCTATAATTAATCTTGTGTCCAAACATTACAAAATATTAGCTCACATATTTTTAATAATTTTTCTAACAATTATCTTTTAAGTTATTTAAATAAATTTAGATAATTTTCAAATAATTTATAAAATAACAAAAAATAAATAAAACTTACTTAATTTAAATATTATATCTCGGTTATCCATCGGTTTATCGGCTGGTCTCGGTGTTTGTGTTTTTTTTAAATATGGATATTTTTAAAAATCTAAATTGAATTATTGGATCACTAGACTAACCAGTTAAATTACGGATTCGGGTCGAATTTAAAAACACTTATTATAAGGCAAAAATATTTTTAATGTACATTTTTTATCAAATTAATAAAATATTTCTAATTATTAGTAAAAAAATTATCATAAAATATTCTCACGGGTCAAAATTTAGTGTATATATTAGAATCAAATCAACTATAGTTTATAAAACACTTGACAATATATGTTCTCAAACCAAACAATATTAACTAAATTAATTGAACATAAACCCAATTTTCTTATGTTTTTAATACCATTATTTTAAATTGGGTAGTATGTCAAACTTCTAACTAACATGTGTTCATTTAAAAAACATATGAAACAATGTGACGCCGGTTGACAATAAAAGGAACGTTTTTAATAGATAGATACATAAACAGATAACACGTGAAATTATTTTATGCCAAAACATAGTTTAAAACTTTATAACGAGACAAACCCAAACGAATACAAGCCAAGGTTAATACCAACATACGACAGGCACATGACTTACATTAATACGAGTTATCATTGTAAGTAAAACAACATTAAGACATTGCTAGTTATCGTATTTAATTTGATTGAAACTGGCCCAAGACATCTTCCCATATTAAGCAACATTAACGGCGCTTCAATGCGAGCATCAAGCACAGAGACCTACAAATTAAACACATCAAACTGAAACAAGGAATCATTAGAAAACCTCAAGTTGTTACAAGAAGGTTGGTTGAATCTAAAACCTTCAATATAGTTAAAGAAAGTCTCATAAAAATGTTCTTTATAGTTGTCAAACATATATAAGAACAATTATGTGTATATAAAACTTATCAAATTAGCAGTAATATACATATATATTATATACGAAGGTGTATAGAGACAAGAGAAAGAAGAGGAGCTCCCTTCATTCCAAACGAAGAGAAGAGAAGGATGTATATTCATAGAGAAAGAGAGAAGATCTAAGAGGCCATGCAAACCCTTTATAAAGTGCTCATTATTCAAACACTTAATGGGGGAATCCATGAACAATTAGATTTTCTGTTTCTATTTCCTTCAATCTTATCCTCCTCGTTTTGGAAGAAGGGAGCTCCTTCGGCTACACATAAGAAACTATTGTACAAAAAAATATAAACAAAACCGAATGATCTTATAAGATTGATGAAGCTAAGTAGCTAATAATTATGAAGAAGAAGATTATTTAAAGTGGTTTATATAGATGGAGTAGCAAAAACCCTAGTTCTACTTCAAAGGACGACTATGGAAACATTGTAATAAAAATGGAATAACATAGTAGGAAAGAAAATGGCAGTAGCTTTTTTTTTCTTTTTTTTTTTGGAACAAAAAAAATGGCAGTAGTTATTGTCATAAATTAGAAACTTAACATAATCTAGATGCGTAGGTTCTCTTTTAATATACAGAAAAGAATCGAGAGAAAGATAAGAGTATGGGCCCTTTATTATTTGCTATCTCTTTGCTTAGGAGTTTGGTCAAATGCAAATACCGACACATCTTTGACTTGTCTATTTACAATGTGATGCCGGTTGACAATAAAAGAGACGTTTTTAATGAATAGATACATAAACGGATAACACGTGGAGTTATTTTACGCCAAAACATAGTTTAAATCCTTCTTCGAGCTCTTTCAAGCAAACCCTATCATGCATATAAGCTGAATCATCTTGTTTTGTCCTCGAGTTACTTCTACTTGAATGTGATCTTCTCTTCTCCCTATCGCAGGAACATTAAATCCTCTTTATGACCTTCCTCTAGCCTCATTTGTAACCTCTGATCAGTCCACGCTTCAGCAATCTCAACAATTACCTTATCACTCACTGGAGACTTGTCTTCAAAATCTTTAACAACCGCTTTAGCAAATTTATCGCAGAGATCTTCCACTACGATACGTTCTTTTCTCTCATTTTCAAGATCTTTAAAGCTTTTGTGAAACAATGCTTTGCTTCACAAAGCTCTCTTGTTTGCTTCCTATGCAAACTCTCTGACTTCTTTCTAACTTAGATGAATTATCCAAAATAGTACTCAGTTAAGTTTTTTGGGGAGAGGTTTAGACTTTAGAAGAAGAGTTGAGTTGTGTTTTGTGTTGCTCTGGTAATAGGCAAAGTTAAGAGTGTAATTAGTTGGAAAGCGTGGACTTTTAAATGAAGACAACTCGTTCAACAAACGGGAAACGGCAATGACTTTATCTCCTTGAACATTCGTTGGGAAACTTGGAATCAAAAGTCTAATTTGAAGTTTCTTTATTTAACTAGTTCAACTTTTCACAGACTTTGTTAATTAAATGTTGTGGACATAATTTTTGAAAAATCTTTTCGGTATACACTTCGAGGTAGGCCACATAACAGCTAGAGGTAACCATTTGAGCTAATCTATTTTATTAAAATAGAAACATTGTGTTGAACTTACATTTATATATAAATTTTTAAATGAAATATATTTTTATATTTTATAGTTAAACTTACATTAAATCACTAATATTTATTTATTTATACTATTATCTTTGACTTGTCTATTTACAATGTGACGCCGGTTGACAATAAAAGGAACGTTTTTAATAAATAGATACATAAACAGATAACACGTGAAATTATTTTATGCCAAAACATAGTTTAAAACTTTATAACGAGACAATACCAAACGAATACAAGCCAATGTTAATACCAACATACGACAGGCACATGACTTACATTAATACGAGTTATCATTGTAAGTAAAACAACCTACATTAAGACATTGCTAGTTATCGTATTTAATTTGATTGAAACTGGCCCAAGACATCTTCCCATATTAAGCAACATTAACGGCGCTTCAATGCGAGCATCAAGCACAGAGACCTACAAATTAAACACATCAAACTGAAACAAGGAATCATTAGAAAACCTCAAGTTGTTATAAGAAGGTTGGTTGAATCTAAACCTTCAATATAGTTAAAGAAAGTCTCATAAAAATGTTCTTTATAGTTGTCAAACATATATAAGTACAATTATGTGTATATAAAACTTATCAAATTAGCACAATATACATTTATATTATATACGAAGATGTATAGAGACAAGAGATAGAAAAGGAGCTCCCTTCATTCCAAACGAAGAGAAGAGAAGGATGTATATTTGTAGAGAAAGAGAGAAGATCTAAGAGGCCATGCAAACCCTTTATAAAGTGCTCATTATTCAAGCACTTAATGGGGGAATCCATGAACAATTAGATTTTCTGTTTCTATTTCCTTCAATCTTATCCTCTTCGTTTTGGAAGAAGGGAGCTCCTTCGGCTACACATGAGAAACTATTGTACAAAAAGATATAAACAAAACCGAATGATCTTATAAGATTGATGAAAGCTAAGTAGCTAATAATTATGAAGAAGAAGATTATTTAAAGTGCTTTATATAGATGAAGTAGCAAAAAACCTAGTTCTACTTCAAAGGACGATTATGGAAACAATGTTATAAAAATGGAAAATCATAGTAGGAAAGAAATGGCAGTAGATATAGTCATTAAGTAGAAACTTAACATAAACTTGTTGGTTAGATTCTCTTCTTAATATGCGGAAATAAACGAGAGAAAGAGAGAGTATGGGCCCTTATTTTGCAATCTCTTTGCTTATGACTTGTCAATTTACCGACACATCTTTGACTTGTCTATTTACCATTTATAACGAATATTAAGAGAATCCATAACAATTAGCACACAGTTAACAACCCTATGTTTAATTATCAAATAGTAAAATTTAGCAAAGCATGCACAAACACAAGACAAGACTTCTATCAAATGGCTTCTCAAGCTTGAACCGGATGATTAGGTGTAGACTTCAAAGAACGTAAACGTCGACTCTCAACACGAGCTTCCATCAGCTTATCCTTCAGACTACGCCTCTCCTCTCTCACCATCACATTCACATTCCTCGGAACAATCTTGGAGAAAGCTCTAGACATTTCTAAATCATCAACATTCCTTGGAGTACTAGTCTCTGGATGAACCTTGTCTCCTTCAGAAGACATAGATAGATTCAGAACTTGATCTGACCTCTTAAGCTGCAACTTGTTATCTCTTCTTGATCTCCTTTTGAGTCCTTCTTCGAGCTCTTTCAAGCAAACCCTTTGATGCAAATAAGCTGCATCATCTTGTTTTGTCCTCAACTCACTTGAATGTGATCTTCTCTTTTCCCTATCCTCTAGCTTCATTTGTAACCTCTGATCAGTCCACACTTCTGCAATCTCAACAATCACTTTGTCTTCACAATCTTTAACCGCTTTAGCAAACTCATCGCAGAGATCTTCCACTACAACACGTTCCTTTCTCTCGTTTTCAAGATCTTTCAAAGCTTTTGATAAACAATGCTTTGCTTCACAAAGCTCTCTTGTTAGCTTCCTATGCATACTCTCTGACTTCTTTCTAACTTCCCTCTCTTCTTGTAGCTCCTTCTTCATGGATCTAAACACATCCTTTAGCTCCTCTTCTTCCTCTTCCTTTTTCTTATGTGGTCGCTTATGGCTCTGCTTCTCACGATGCTGCACCTCCTTGATCTCGGCTCTACACTCATCCAACTCCATCTTTAGAGCTTTGACCAAAGAGGTATTAGCAGTATTCTGTTCTTCAAGACTCCATATTCGGTTTAGCACCTTGAGAAGCTTTGTAGATGAACCCAAACCATAGCTAGCAGACTTAGCAGCCGTTGAAGAACCAGTTTGACTAAAAAGTGGGTTACGTTTCAAAACCTACAAATAACATTAATCCAAACACACACTCAAAAAACAAGTCTTAAAAGAGCAAAGGACTTTTTTGTTTTGTTTTGTTCTGACCTCCAAAGAATGGTTGCTGGAACTTGAAGGAGTGATTGGTTGCAACAAGTCGCCATATCTCTGAACAAGTCGATGATCATCATTAGACTCAATTTGTCTCCTCAAGCTAGTACCTCTACTTGGTGGCTGCAAATCAAAACACACACACACACAACACATGAGCTCTTGTCTGATAGATCCCATCACAAAGATCAAAACTTCTTTTTTTTTGAAGGATGTGAAAATATATTCAATCAAAAGACATTGTTGCATCTAGTGCCTCTTTAAAAGAGTAATGTGTAAGAAAAAAGAAATGAAAGAACAAATGAATAAAATATACTAATTGGGTTGTTATAGAGCCAAACCAAACCATGAGCCCCTCCTCTGTTTCCATAAAGATCAAAACTTTACAGAGCTTGAAATATTTCCGGTGGATATTTCACCGTAAAGATCAAAACTTTACGACTCACACACTAACAAGATCAAAACCCTACATAAACCCACCAATCATATTCAACTGAATTGTTAAGAAAACATGTTAACCTGATGATCACAAGGTGATTCCACATCGGAATCACGCCGTCGACACCGTGGCAGACCAACCGGCGGCTTGAAATGTTCTGTTTCCCACAACTCTGCGCACAGTTTCCTGACGGAAACATCCGAATTGAGCAAGAACTCTTTAGCCGAGGAAGCACCGAGTCGCGGCGGTGAAAGACCGAGTCGCCACGTGGGTGGAGGAGTAGACGGAGCAGCTCTTTTACTGTAATTATTACCCATGTAGAAACTTCGTCTCAGCTTTTTCTCAATGTCTCCTCCTTCTTCACACTCTCTCTCCATCACAGAAGCTGCTTAAGAAATGGAGAAATTGTCTTCTTCTTCTTCTTCTTCTTCAGACTGAGAATGTCGAATTTTATGGGATGTTTGTGTTGTCTCTTGTCTGAAGTCTACAGTTTCTGTCTCGACTCTCTCTCTCAAGTCGTCTGTCTTTGTTCCTATCTTCTTTTTTCCTTAAGATCACAGACAGTGGCTTTATCTTAAAAAAATGTTGGATCTAGTTTAGACAAGGGTACAAATGTTTATCGAATGATTAAAATCATATACTTTTGTAAGGGCCTATGTATCTATTACTCTCTCTCCCGACAAAGGTTACGAGTTAACTCTGACTTTTCCTTCTTCCCAACAAAGCAAGCAAATGGAGTAGATTTTTACTTACTGCAAGGGGTAATATATCCCAGTGAATATACTTCTTTCAGAGTCAGAGACAGATAGAGAGAGGATGCGTGTGACTTTTATAATTACTATTTCTCCATGTGAAATCTTGTCACCTTCTTTTCACTGCTCTTTTCATAATTTATAATAATAACTTTTTTTATAATTTTGAATATTACTTTTTTTATCTTTGGCAAATATTACTATTCACAAAATTAAATGGAACTGAATGAAGTCAAAATTTTGGATAAACATGAAGTTAACAACCTTGTGCTACTAGTAAGCATAGGGATTGAGAGTAGGTTAATAGAGTCATTATGGGGTTAAATGGGTGTTTTTAAGGAATAATAAAAAGATCATTCGTATCAGAAAAAATGACCATGCTTCAAGATTCCTGGTCCTTTTAACGCTAGACTACAGCTCCAGTGTTATTATGACCAGCACTGACACTACCATAGATTAGGTGAGAGTGAGATTAGATCATTACTTACTTCTTTTCTCTTGCACATGTTTTAACTTTGATTTGATTCCAACGTTGTTGTTGTAGTGAAAATAACATAATACAACATTAAGAAATCATGGAGATGAGTGTAAATGGTCTTGTTAACAAAACATAAAGACGTTGGGACGTGAAACGGGACCACAATATATATTTTTTGACGGCTAATAGACAATGAAACGTGGCCGATGAGAAAGAAGGAGATGAACATGAAAAGGATGGCTATGTCCGCATGAACCACATACACACTCATTGCCTTTTTCTCCCAAATGAATTCAAAATTGGCTTAAGTAAATGTAATAAAAGTAGACATGCAATTTACTACGTGTTATGGTCCCCTCCCTACACTCCCCTATTTAGTATAAAGTATCGACTCTCATTCTCATTAGTCACAAATATAACTCATAATGATGGCCTTGGGTGGTGCTAATGAACTTCATAGTATGTACTTATCTTAACTGTACTACTTATGGGCTGAGAGTTGTCTCAACCAAATATACTAACGGGCCATTATTTCGGCCTAGACACATCGTGGAAGCCCTTTAGGTTAAATTCTTTCTTGGTTCAAATGCTGAATCAGTGGAATCTTTAGTTTCTGAAGTCAGACAGGTAAAAATTCATGAGGAAATGCTACTTGGTTCTCCCGTAATTAGAGTGATATGCCGAAATGGGACACTCAGAACTTTCCATTTACAAGTAGATCAAGAACAACCACACTTTTATATAAAGAGAGACAAAATCACACAAAACAACAGAGGTTTATTTTGTTTTACATTAAGGCATCAGTACAACTTGCCGACATAGGTTTGGTTGTTTGCTTTCCACGGTTGAGTTTACGACGTCCAACATGAGTCCTCTTCTTCTGCGACAGTTTCTTCTCTAGGCTTTTGACCCGACCTGTTAATTTTGATATGACTTCGAGTTGTTCTCTGCCTGCCTTTAGAAGCGTCTCCATTGTTTCCTTGAATCGTTGGTTCTCCTCCATCAGTTTTTTTGTTTCTTCTGGCATCCCAAGTTCAGTGACTTGTGTATCTTGGCCTGTGTCACTGGAGTAATCGCACGAGTGGTCAACGTTAGTTTCCTCCTTGCTTGCTGTCTCAGGGTCCAATACAGTCTTCTCCGCTCCATGAAATGATAATGAATCTTGTGAAGGAAGCTGCATTTTATCATCAATTAGTCCAACAGGTAGCTCGGAGAATTCCACATCTTTCTCTGAAAGCAAGACGGAATCATCGTCCCCTTTTCTGTCTTCAGTCTCAGAGGCTTTGGCCACAATTTCAGAGACTTCAGTAGCATTTTCCAGGTCTTCCAAAGCAGGTCCACCAGTTGTTTCCACCACTTGCGGCAATTCGTGCAGCGGCTCCTCCACCATGACTTGGTCTTCGTCAACATTGGACATTGGTAATTCAACTGCATCCGCTGACGATGAATTGGCTGGTGGAACAGTCTCAATCGCCTCATTTTTCTCTGAAGGTAACACGGAAACATCGTCTCTCTTTCTGTCTTCAGTCTCAGACGCGTTGGCCACAGTTTCAGAGACTTCGTTAGCATTTTCCAGGCCTTCAACATCGGACGTTTCCACCACTTGCGGCAATTCGTGTAGCTGCTTCTCCACCATGACTTTGTTGTCTTCGTCAATATTAGTCACTGTCATTTCTTTTCCATCAGATAACGATGGATTGATTGGTAAAACAGCCTCGACTGCTTCAGTTGTTTCTGAAGGCAATTCGGAATCATCATCTCCCTTTCGGTCTTCACTCTCAGACGCGTTGGCCGCAGTTTCACGGACTTCGGTAGCATTTTCCAGGCCAAGGGTTGTTTCCACCACTTCTGGCAATTCGGGCAATGGATCCTCCATGACTCTGTCTTCCTTATTCGTCACTGTCATTTCATTTCCATCAGCTGATGATGGGTTGATTGGTGGTAACATAGGCTCAGGCGCTTCAATTTTCTCTGGAATGGTTGTCGAGTCCGCTTCAACTGTTTCAGCAGCTGGCTCAGGATCCGTCGCTAGAGTCTCAGACAGCTCAATTGCTCCTTCTGCTTCAGCCACCAGATGTGCATCTGTTGTGTTCTTGAGACTCGTAAGATGTTCCTCGGGGGAAGTAGGACAAACCTTCTCCGTATTCGAATCAGATGCCATCATGTTCTGTTCTGCAAGCTGACTGTGCTCCAAGCTCACTGGACATTCACTAGTCTGTGAGGCAGAATCCACTTGCTCCTCCACAGCTTCTTTCTCCACACTGCACTTTTTCAAGGAGTCAATGTTCTCCTGCAAGTCCGAGAGCTCTCTAGCCAAAGATTTTCTATATTCTCTGATACTAGGATGCAAGCCCTGCAAGCAAAATGAAATGTTCTCAAAAACTATCATCAACAATTTCAGAGTATAACTACATGTACACGAATTGACTAATATTGACTTGTCAATGAAGGTATGAAACTGATAAAACACAAAAGATAAGTCAATCTTCCATGCATACCTGGACAGAATCAAGTTTTAATAGAAGGCTCATCACCATTTCTCCCAGAACTACGATCTCCTTTCCTTCAGTGTGCTGATCAGCAGATAATTCTAGCGCCTGAACACGCTTTTTAACATCACCCATCTGCTCGCGAACACTAGCTATCTCTTTCAGTTTCTTAATTGGCTCCCATCTTCTCACATCATATCCGCGGTATCTAGATTGGATAACTATAGCAGCTTCCTCTTCTGTAAAGTTCTTCTTTGCAGGATTCTCTACATTCTCCTTAGCTTCACAAGGTTTAACGATATCACATTTCACCCCTTGCAGACCAGATTTGGTTTCAACTGATTCTTTTTCTGTTGGCTTCATGCATCCCTCAGGCGTCTTCGTTTCCTTGTTTGCCTCTTCACATTTTCCATTACAAGCATCAGGAATAGTCCTTGTTTCGACCTTCTTAGAGCTCAGCGGAGAAGCGACCTTGCTCTCTTCTGATGTTATGGTTTGTTCCTTTCGTCTCGGAGGGCTAAGAGATTTTGATTTGCCACTTTTCCTCTTCGGCAACGGGTCAACACGCAGACAAACCGGAGGCAACCTAGATGCTTTTGTTGGAGACGAACGCTGCTCTTTTCTTGTGTCCTCAGCTGGCTCTGTCTTCTTCTCCGTTGACTCTGGAAGATGGTTTTCTAACTGTTTGACGGGAACACTTCTTGGTTCTTTATAGCTCTGCACGGGGATGTTTCTCACGAGTCTTTTCTCCTCCGCATCCGAGACTGCCTTGCCCTCAATGTTCCCGTTGTCACATTTGGCAATTTGATCGTTATCTAAATGATCAGAAGAGACAGACTTCAAGTCACTGCCTTCGTTACCGCGCTCCTTCTTCTCAGAGGCTCCAACATCTTCCTGTTTCCCCTGAGATGGTATCCAAAAGATAGGATACTGAAGTTGTCCCGGCTCTTTGCTCTTCTGGGTCTGTCCTTGACCCTGCAGTAAGGATTTCAGCTTGCTGATATCAAAAGGCAGCTCCACGGTATTCCCATTCTGCTTCTTACTCCTGTCTTGATTTTGAATCAAGGACTTGAGGGTGTTCTCGTCTAATGGAAAACCACCATTCCAAGACATAGGATCACCTTTCTGCACCTTCCTACTCTCAGTCTCAGGAGCTTTAACATGAGCAGGAGGTTGATTATGATTTCCATGCTGTTGATTCCTAGAGTTCTCATGAGGCATCCATACAATGGGATAAGGATAGTTGGTGGAACGGACCTCTCCACGGTCTCCTTGCACATTCTCCGGCTCATGCTCTTCAATAACAACACCAGAGCCATTCTTCCCCGGGGAAGAACACTTTGAACATCGATTCTTCCCAGTCACATCCTTGTCAGACTCAAACCCTTGTTGATAACCGACAGGAAACGGCTGTTGAATGTAACAAGGAGGAGCGTGAGGATGGAAACCAGAATGGTTCATCCAACACGTATGGTATGGCACTTGTGGGGGATAACAAGGAGCACAGTAAGGATTGTAGTAGGGAGGAAAATTGCCATGGATGCAGCTTCCATAACACGGTGATGGAGCGGGCCAATGTTCACACGACGACGCAGGTGATGAAGCATCCATTGTCACATGGTGAGGATAACCCCCAAAGCCTTGGTGATAGCATCCTCCTCCTTGTGGTCTCATTTGGCCTGGTTGTGGTGAGTGTATGTACATAGGCATCATCTCTATTCAACTAACCACTATAGCTGCATCAAATCACCAATCCAAATCAATCAATTTGCAACTTCGGTAACAATTAAAAAAAACAATCAAAAAAGCTAAACCAGTTACATCTTCAATAGGAACAACGAAACGAAGGATCCAGAAGAGAGCTTACAGATATCTCAGGCTCAGTTCCCGCGAAGCTCTCTCTCTCTTCACCAAACCAATAAGCAAATATCTTCTTCTTCGATTTTTTTTTTTTTTTTTTTGGCAGATATCAGATGATTGCAGATTCTTATTTGTATGGGTATGGAAATATCTGAAGACATTTCGTAATTTATATAGAGAGACGAAGAAGACGAGGACTTGGAGGGAGAAAAAATCTATCTTCTTCTTCTGCTCTCCAGATTATTCTCGCGTCATAAAACTACCTACTCTGAACCATCTCGATGTTTCTCCTCTTCTCCCCCGCAAAAAAATATCTTAGATTTTATATGGGCCTTGTAAATTAGGCCCATTATGTTAGTTGGGTCTCACTAATGGGTTTTGTACCTTGAGTAGGGTTAAGTATGTAAATATGTAGTTCGTCTTCAATATCGGTCTTCGTCTCTGATACCTCTTAAACAATCCTAAAACCTCTCTGTCAACTTTGTTCTAGGGTTTTTTGTTAATCTCTGCTTTAAGGATGGGAAAGGCAAAGAAACCTCAGAAGTTTGCTGTTATGAAGAAGACTATAAGCCACAAAGCTCTGAAGCAGTAAATCAAACGCTTCTCTTCTTCATTGAAAGTTTATATTTTTAAATTTTTTTTTTTTAATTCTTCCAGTTACAAGGAGGAGGTTCTGAATCCAAACAAGAAGGACCTCACTGAACTTCCCAGAAACGTGTAAGCTTAGCTTACCTTACTCCTTTTTTTTGTGCCAAGCTCTAATATTTTTTGTGCGTTTGCTTAGAACTTAGAATTTAGATTTTTGTTTGTTCTGGAAACAGACCGAATGTTCCATCAGGAATGTTCTTTTCTCACAACACTAATATGGTGCCTCCTTACCGAGTTTTGGTCGACACTAACTTCATCAACTTCTCTATCCAGAACAAGGTACACACAGAGCTTTACAGTGTTATTGTCTTCATTGGAATCTCGTTTTCGTTCTAATTGATATATCCTTCCCTTATGTTGTATTCATAGATTGATATAGAGCAGGGAATGATGTTCTGCTTGAACGCAAAATGTGAGTTACTTCTACTTTGTTACGTCTCCTTTAGTTACGGATAGATATATATGCACATGATTCTTTCTTACTCTCTTGTAATCGTTTCGGGTTTGAAGGCACTCCTTGTATCACGGACTGCGTCATGGCTGAGCTTGAGAAGTTAGGCCAGAAGTATCGTGTCGCTCTTAGGTAGTTGCTTTACGATCTCAAAAGGGTTTTAGTGCAATTGCTTTGTTTTTCTGTAGATTTTTAATTGATGTAAGTTTGGTAGGATTGCGAAAGATCCTCGCTTTGAAAGACTACCTTGTGTACACAAAGGGACATATGCTGATGACTGCCTCGTTGACAGAGTTACTCAGGTAATGCGTCGGTCTTGATGCTCTAGACTCATCGTTTTGGTGTATAGTTTTATCTTTTGTTTGTTTCCTTTGCTTATACTTGTTCTTGCTTATATACAGCATAAGTGCTTCATGGTGGCTACTTGTGATAGAGACTTGAAGCGAAGAATTCGAAAGGTATATATAATTTGATAGGTCAATAGTTTTTCAAATGTCCACTGCTGCTCTTTAAAAAAAATGTCCATTGCTGCTTAGTACTTTGGATGTTATCTTCTGTTGGTTTGCAGGTTCCTGGTGTGCCTATCATGTACTTGGCGGGGCGCAAGTACTCAGTAGAAAGGCTACCTGAAGCAACACTTGGTAGAGGTATGTATACATCTTTGGACTCTGTCACTTCTGAATCTAAAGGTGCTTTGGTGTTAAACTTCTCTTTTGTAACCTTTCGCTTGTTTTTATGGTCCAGCTCCAAGATACTGATATCTTATCCAAGAATTGTATGGATTCCAAGAAGCTCTGAAGCCTGTGTTAGTGTCGGTTTAAGCTTTGAGTCAGATGTTGTGATGTCTCGAGAGATCTTCTTCTCTGCTGTCTGTTTGAAACAAAGTTGGCTAATAACTTTATAGAAATCTTTATAGTACCTTTGCATTTTAAAGCCTTGTTTAAAACACATTATTCTTGAGCTACACAGATTTGTTAACCACGGACCATGCTTTTGTTTGACTTCGTACATTAATGTGAGAACTAAGAAAATTTACATGAGAAAAGAACGTGCTGTAGAAAATAAAAGAAAGGTGGAATGATAATGAAACTTGATTTGAGTAGAGAGTGGTTTTCACTAGACGTAACCAGCTTTGAGCTTTGGAGTTTTCTGTTTGACGAAGAACGCAGATAGAACACTCTTGGTCCTTACTGGTGCTTGAATGATCTCTCGTCGTGGGTTGTCAAGTGACCTGTGTGCCGTCATAAGTTTGGGAACTTCCATATCCTGAGGAACAACAAACTTGTCTCATCAAGATCATGAACATTTAATTTAGCACTAGTCTAATCTGACTTTACCTTCTGTGTCTGCCTGGTGATAGTGGATGTTGCAGGAACACCTGAGACTTGAGAACCTCCGACCAAAGGCTTTATGTTTTCTTCATCACCTGCATGTGTTTCAATGTATCATCAAGTGATCAAATATCTTCATTATGAGAGTTATTAGGAGAAATGTTATGTTTAATCCATCTCCAACTCCAGAGTCTCTCATACCTGAAAGATGGAACACCCCAGTTGTCTTTGCAAAAGCCTTCGAATCTTTGGAGCTGCACAATAGGTAGGAGTTAGCTGATTAGTTATCAAGAACCCTATTTAACAGTACTAAGACTGCCTTTTGTGGGCTCACCTTGGTGTAACAGTTGCTGATCCTTTCAGAGTCGACTTTGTATCAGAGCCTAAATGCCAGGAGAGTGATTTCGATGCAGGGGCATCTAAGTAACTCAAACAAAACATTACTTAAAACCGTTTCAATATTTCACTATCAACTAGCAGCATATAAAGCTCTCAAAGATGCGGACACTGCACACCTGAAGGTTGAAGACGAGATATAGCTTGGTAATGATTCTGTCTCGATTCAGATCGTCTGAGAGGACTGAAGTGCACACGCTTGTTAACAGAGTCTAACAACAGCCAAATAAAAAGGATTCAGATTTCAATAACAATCGACTTTCACAGAATCTTATAAACCGGCCAAGGGGAAAACACTTACTGGGTAGAATGTAATGCTTGTGATGAAGTGGGATAACTGCTAATAGCTGTTGCTGTCTAAGACCTTCTTTGTCTATATAAGTCCGGCAAGTAAGCAGTTGCTAACAAAACAAAAGACAAACACACAAACCTTTTTTTAAGTAAAAGAAAGTCTACAAAAGGGTTAAATAAAATCAGTTTGTGCAAAAGTCTAGTTACCTGACTAACACAAGAAGCTCTCATCTCCATAGTAGATACATCAGAACTTTGCTGATCAAAGAGATCAGTAAGCTTAGAAGCAACAGTACCAAGGTGATCAACAGCATTAACAAGAGCCTTAACAGTATAGTCCTTTAAATTGTCCAATACCCTAACAGAAACATAGCAAATATATTCATTAACAATCATCAATTCAAAAGTGTATTATTAGTAGCTAAAATAAGATGTTTATGATACATTTGCTTTTGTTCGCTGTGGAGATAAGACTTCTCACAGTAATCAGCAGCTGAGTAGAGTTGTGGTCTCAAGTTCTTGAGCTCCTGTTTACATAAACAATCACAAGCTATTAGAGATCATGGATCTAGCATAACCTAACGATTGTTATTATGATCTTGATTTCTGAAGAATCTAATCAAAGAGAAGCAAAGAATATTGCAGAGATAAAAGAAAAAGGAACCTGCAAGGCCTTAACGAAGCTCTTGCTGCGTTCCATGGAAACCTCGTCGAAGGTCATCGCTGGATTCTCCGTCACGGAAGCTTCAATCTCCATATTCGATTCTCCTCTTCTCTTCTCTTCTCTCCGGTAGAGAAACGATCTTTAAACCGTCGAGTTAAGCGATCAGGCGGAATAAAAATTGCGTAGAAATTACGGTTACGTAGTGCGATGACTGTATCAATGTTTGAGCCTTTTCTGGTGAGAGACTGCTCAGCTAACTCTTGAGAGAGAGAGAGAGAGAGAGAGAGAGAGAGAGAGAGAGAAGGGTGAGTGAAGTAGAAGCGATTCTCCTATGCCAATTTCCTTTCTGAATGAGTTAACACGAATATTTAGAAAACGACTTCGGGAAAGACGCACTATGCTTTTACTACTACTATTTTATTTATTATTTTTGTCGGTTATTTATTAATTTATTTCAATATATAGCATCAGATTTCAGACTTGTATAGTCTCCTAATAATTAGATCTTAAATCCAATTTATTTATTTTGTAGTTTGATTTCTTGCTTAATATTCTCTCCATTTCATATTGAATGTCAGAATATTTTTATTATAAAATATTATTTTCGGTTTTTCAATACAAATTTGATTAATTTTATGATAGATATATATATATGTAATTATGTTTTTAAAATTCTACAAAATTAATTGTTTTTTAATTCTTGTGTCCAAAATTAAAATAACACTTGATATGAAATAGATGAAGTATTAATTTGATGATTTTAAATATATTTTTAATTATAATTAATACAGCCAATTAAACAAGACAAAAACATCATAAATCGAAAGTACATTAAGATTAATATCTTTTGTCTACTATACATTAAAACATTTTAATTTTGTAATTCCAAAATTTAGTACTGTAAAAAACTAGAGTTTCACATGTCTTGTATAAGCTTTTAATGCGGTAGTTGATATGACACAATAAATGATTATTATATTTATGGTAAGCTTTCTATGCAAGCATTTAATTAACCACACCTTAAATTGGAGGTGGATCTAGACGCCGAAAATGACGGTAATAACCTTGTAAAAGAGACTAGTCAACGTAACTTGAATTGAATGAAACCGTCGTCAAGTTGCACATAAAGTAATGATGGGGGGGGGGGGGTCAGCATTAGCCAGCTTTGCATCCTGAGATCCCCACACCTGTGTATTAGCTGTCCAAAACGGACCTTCCCGTTGTGCACGTGCTTTAGCCCATTGGACCCATCATTGGCAAAAATCATTGGCCACAAAACTCTTTTCTAATCAACTTTGCTATCTAAAACTTCAATGATTCAGGTGTGTATTAACATCATTGCAAAAATAGATGACTTGTTGTTTCTGGTTTGTACTAATAATATTGGTGGTTATGTGATAACTTCAAGTTGAATCAATCCTATCAAAGATTTCAAATAATAAGAACATGCAAAAAAAGCAACCAATGATAAGAAAAACAAACGAGAATCTTTAAAACCCGTAAATGTCAAAGCAGAGAACATATCAAACAAGCAGCCTAATGCTAATGAAGACGTATTCAGCAGCACGACCATGTAAGAAAAAAAGGAACGAGAATCACTAAAACCTGTAAATGTCAAAGTTGGGCTCCTTGTAGAACAAGGAAGGACAGCAAACCGCGTGACCATGTTCACGTAGTAATAGTACTACAGAATCTCTGGCTCATATATATTACACTTAATCTTGTGATAAGTAAGAGCTAAAGGAAGATCAGCCTACAGAATCTCTGGCTCATATAAATTCTTGTTTTGTACTGGAGCATGCATTATTAATGGAATCCTTTCTGAAATTTTAGTGGAGAAATGAATCCATGCTGAAATTAAATGACAAAACTACATGATGTTCCCATTCAAATGCATAAGACACCGCGATGTCAAGAATAGAACAAAACCACACGCAGTTTCTATTAAAAAGCAGAAAACATCATGACATCAAAAATAGTATTGTTCCTCCTAGATCAACATATTTAGAAATTTTAAAATCTTCAAAACTGTTAAATGGAGTTTCCAACTAATAGAATGTGAATATATAATCACATATATGAAAAAAAATTTGAAAAAAAAATAAATTTAGTGATACAAAAATACATTTAAAGTTTGCCCACGCGCACCTGTAGCGAGTAAGCACTTTCCGTAGTGAGTGAGTGCTCATTACTCTTTGATTTTGACAATTTTTCATTTTTCTTAAAATGCCAGCGAGTGAGAGAACGCAAACCCACGTCTTTAGAAAACCAATACAAACCGGATGAATTAATTAAATTGGGCCATTTAAATGGGCTGTGGACATGGGTTTATATATAAAAGCATACATATTGTAATTTTGTAAACCAACTTCAAATTGCAGCAATCCAACAAAGATTTCAAATTATAAATACATGCAAAAAAACAACCAAAATTATATAATAAAACAGTATATAGTTAAGATTATCTATCATTTTTGTTTGTTTTGAAAAAGGGCTTTTTTAAGATTATCTATCATTACTTAGTTTATTTAATTATTAATGTATACATCGTTTTATAGAGTTTATTTCATTGTTCTTTATCTATATATAGTACACACGCCAAAATCTAGTCCCACATTTGAACTCTAACTATAACCACACAAATTAAAAGAGCTGTATACACAAGCTATACTAATATGTTTCCGACCATGATGATAGAATCTCTGAACACAAAGTACGTAGGCTTCGGTGTGCAGCTAATGGCTCCAACAAGTTCCTGAACGTTGAGCATTTGAAACTTTGGAGGCGAGTTAACGGCAATGTTATCGACTTTATGTTCATAAATCTTCCCGTTCTTGTCGAATTTATACTCTGAAGTGCCATCAAACCGACCACGTGTCTTCCAAGGACCACGAGGAATCCCGTGAACAGTCCATCGAATCAACAGAGTGTTCTCTGTGGGTTGCCAAACACTAATGATGTCGATGCAGAGTGCTCTGAAGAAGATCCTTCCATGGAAACGTAACGCCCATAATACTGTTTTGTAGTTATCGATTCCCNGAATTTATACTCTGAAGTGCCATCAAACCGACCACGTGTCTTCCAAGGACCACGAGGAATCCCGTGAACAGTCCATCGAATCAACAGAGTGTTCTCTGTGGGTTGCCAAACACTAATGATGTCGATGCAGAGTGCTCTGAAGAAGATCCTTCCATGGAAACGTAACGCCCATAATACTGTTTTGTAGTTATCGATTCCCATGAAAGTGTTTATAGGGTCTCTCAACACAATATCATCCCTGTGAAAATTAGACAAAAGGTGAAAATTCAAGAAGAGATTAAGCAGAAGAGTATTTTTAACTAACGAGAATCAGTAAAACCTGTAAATGTCAAAGTTGGGCTCCTTGTAGAACAAGGAAGGAAGCTCCTCTCTGAGACATCGAACGGCGTGACCCATGTTCACGTAGTAGTTCTGTGAACTAATCTCGCAGTCTTCTTTCACTGGAGCTGAGAACTTCACGTACAATCTTGATTTCTGATTCTTCACACCAGACATGTTTCTCGCGGAAACCGTAACCTTCTTCCTCATAAAGGCATGTCTTACATTCGAGTTCGAATAGGGGAAGACTCTAGCCGATACGGTTGGTATCATCTCTGGCGAACGGACGAGGAGTGCCATCAGGGGGCAATGGAGAAGCTGGAAGGAGAATGAAGATTAAACTAGAGCAAACATGGTTTGGTTTCAATGATCATATTCTCTCGGAGATAAGCCAACAAAAAAAAAAAGAGTAAGAATAGGATTTGAAGAGGAATATGCTGATACATAGATTAGGAAGAAGACGAGAAGGCGCGACGCGAGGATAGGCCAAGTAAATTCTCAAAGGATAACCATTATCAGACTTGTCAACTTCAACGATAACGACCGTGAAACTTTTGAACACGTAACAATTGAAAATGGTCCATCAATGGTTATCCTTCAAGTCTCTAGTAAAAGCCCATTATGGAAATGCACCAATTACAAATTGTTGACTACCTATATATAGTTGTAACACTAAACTTTTTTAAAAGGAAAAAGTTCCACATTGTAGTTTTGATATTATGCAACTATTTTCATAGGTTTCATTAATAAAAAGTTTATCAAATTAATTTTCTGCTTTTGTCAATTTACCATCTACACATTATTAGGGATGTTAGTGAGAGTAAGATTTATAGAGAAGTTTTTTTGTTTTGACTAAATTTATAGAGAAGTTGTTGATTTTAAAAATATAGAGATTTGATGAATTTGGAAAAAATTGTAGATAATTTTGTATATTGTGAAAATCTTGAAAAATAAATTATTATAACGATTTTAAAAATCTAAAAATATATGTAATATTCTTAAAATCTTGCTCTATGAGTTAAATTGTTTAGAATACAATTCCTAATAACATTAACTTTAATAGATTTATAGAATCATTGAAATCAAAAAAAAAAATTTGGATTTTGTAGAGAATTATAAAATCTTCACCTAATAACACTAGATTTTATTAAAAATTTAAGAATCTATAAACTAATAACACTAAACTTTTAAAATTCTTGCAATCCTTATAATTCCCACTAACACCTAAATTTGAGTTGGGATTATGATATAGAAGCAAACTACAAATCACCACGTATCATTTGAAAGACTAAAAATGATTAGTGATTTTTGTCACTGACTTTACATTTAAATATTTCAAAATAAATAAATAATTCGGTACAGAAATTGGAACAGTGAACCAGCAAAACCGGTTTAGTACAAACAATACAGCGAGCTTAACCAAAGTCACTCATGATGGTGGTGGGATGATGACTCTCATTCCCTTATGCTCTTCACATCTTTTACGTCCCTTAACCGGAGATCTCTCACAGACCAATCCTCCATTACACACTTTAACACCGCATGTTACTTGTGTTACGGCCACCACCGGATGAATATTCTCTTTCTCCTTGTGTTGCCAACACCTTTTGCTTCCTCTAGGAGAGCTTCTTGTGCAAGGCACACCCTTCTTTGTTGTAGCTTCACAGAAGCCAGGCGAAGCTGTTTCTTCTTCTTCTGCTGCTTTGACGGTTTTCTCACGGTCTGTCCGGTTAAGAAGAAAGAGGAAAGCGTTGATCCTCATGCCTTTATGATCCTCACACCGTTTTCTTCCTGGAACAGGTTTCTTATTGCAAGGCTCCATGTTTGGTAAAATCACTCCACATGTTGTAACATGATCAGTGTTGTTGTAATCTTCTTGTCTGGTGATGAAAGTAGTCTCAGGGGGCTGTGGTTTAACCGGTGAGACACGGCATATTCTCTGCCCTTTATGCTCTATACATCTCTTTCTTCCTTTAACTGGACTTTTACTGCAACAATCCCCGTTTTCAAGTACCACTCCACAAACAACAGAATCAGAAGAAGGTGAGATCATCTCATCAAGTTTGTCAGAAACCGGTTGTGGTCTGGATCGGGAGAGTTGTTTGATTATGGAAGTGAGGAAATTGGTATAACTCTTCTTCTTAAGATGAGGAAGCTTGTTAAGCAAATCAAGATGGCGACGCTCACCGTTGCTACCTTTGTTCCAAGCATAGTCAAAAGTGCTCAAAAGCATCCCTTCTGTTGCCTCAGCTTCTCTCTTACACCTCATCTGAAGAAAGAAACACAAATCTCACACCGAGTTAGTTAGTTAGTTAGTTACTCTCAAATTAAGTTATTACAAAAAACACAATTAAAAAAGATAAAAATTACCGGAGCCCATCTATAGACAAGCGAGCCATGTTTCATGAAAATGTCCTCAAACAAACCGGCCTTCTTATTATCTGGAGACGACTCACAACAACCATCATCAATGTTGTTGTTAAGATTGCGGAAATGAGCACCGGAGCGTCCATAACACTGAAGCCTAGATCTAACACTTTCAGCTTGTCCTATATACGCAGCGAGAACATCATCCGAGTCAAGCTTTCGGTCATCGTCGTGACCAGTGACTGCTACTACACCTAGCTCATACAGACCTGGACAAGATTTACGTGGTAAGTTCTCTACTCTGTATCTACCTACACCCTCTTTCCCTTTCTTGAAATCCTCCCAATCCTCCGAACCTATCAGAACCTGTGTTGTGTATACAGTTTTTTTTTTTTTTTTTCAAACAGCACACTATCAGACAAAGACTAAAGATCAACCCACTTCAACTTGCAAAACTAATTATGTCTAGTTTCTTGCAAAAATGTTAGAGACTTTATGACAAAGATCGAAATTTTAACCTTCCACTTGGAGAAAACAGTGTCGTGTTTGGTTCGCTTATAGTCTTCTCTCTTGTATACAGTCGGGACAACGGCGGCGAAGGAAAGGCTGTCGCCGAACTCCATTCCTTAGATGATTCAAGTTAAAGGCCTTTTCTCAGTGTTTTATTTGATTTTTTATTTTCTTTTGATAATGTCTACCAGAAGATGAGATTGAGATAAGAAAGTGTCTCCCTCTCGAAAAAAAAAGAGAGAGATTGTTTGATTAAATGCTTCTTTCTCTTTCTTTTTTGTATGTGTCATGTCATGTTACCGTTGTAACGGTGAAGCTTTCTCTGTACGGTTTAAGGATTTGGTTTCTTACCGTTGTAACAGTTAATGCTTTTTTTTTTTTTTTTTTTTTTTTTTTAAA